GGACGGGAATATCTCAGTGAAAAATATGGCACAAGGTTTTTCTCTGGTATTGTTTGTTTAATCTTCAGAAGAGGGAAACTAGGACAACCCTTGAACAAAAACCTTTTTCAAGCCACAGAAGAATAACAGGACAGCTTTCTCGTCTATTTTTTTTTCCTCGAAAATGTTCGGGTTTGAGAAGCTTGTCGCACCAGTGCCTTTAAAGTACGGTTTTATCCTTTTTAGCATCCAGAAAATAAATGACCTAGATAACGGCTTTTTTTGTCCTGTTGGCTCAAACTGTCCAGAGCTGTGAGATATGAAGAATTTAACTACATGTATAAGACAATCGCCTAAAAGCGATTGTTTTATTCATTTTCAGTCCGCCGTCTAAGAATTTCAATTTTGCGAAGAGCGAGTCGATGATCATATTCTAGTTGAATTAAAATTAAAGAGCAAATTTCTGATCCAGTCAAACCTATTCAAGTTGAACTCAGCAGAGGGACCCGCAAGATATTGATTTGGGAATTTTTTTTTTTAGATTGGAAAGCAGCATTTTTGCCTGAGGAAGAAAATAAAGAATCACTGAATGATAAAATTGGTGATATTCTTGGCCTTGAACTCCTGGATGAGGGATTCAACAAATTGCTAAAATTGGAGGCATAAGGATACATATGCTCAATTATTCATTATTTATTTCTTTCGAAAGGCATCCGAGGTCCGTTTTTATTTTCTACCTTTTTCTATATTGTCACCAGCAGAATATGACCTTGAAGGTTTGCAAAGTTTGGGTTATGGCATGTTGGAGAGGGGAAGTATTTGTGAGGATTGCCAATATCCTGTTGTTCTCGAAGGAATTCAGAGAGGAACTCAACAATTATGATATGAAGGTTTTTGGACAAACCAATGTCCAATTGTATTTCCTTCTTATATTTTTCAGGATTCTTACTCGATCTGAGATGCATTTTTATTGCTCTTCTATTTTTGTGGTACCGCCCAGAAAATCTTCAAGTTAAGGTTGCCAAACTTACCTTGTTCTCATGGGAATTCAGACAGGGGCTTATAATAAGCCATCAGTACACGAGGGTTGTCCCACTTGGGTGCGACCTCGATTATTTCTAGAGTAGGTATCAGTTAAAAAAATTAATTTGTGTCTTACTATCATATTCTCACCATGATTTTGTATAAAGGGTTATGTGATTTCTTTCGGATTTAAAAAATTAATTTTTGCATGATGATGTTGGAAATTGGAAATATGGTAATAGAATTTCAGACAGATTAGGAAGGTGCCTCTGACAACAATGCCTGAATATGTCCAGAATCCTGTGGGACCAAGTTTGACCTTGAGTTCTCACAAGGGTTTCGATTTTTGGGGAAAACATAAAAAGGGATAATTCTGTTCAGGGACAAAACTTTGCAAAACAAAAGAGTTTCAAAAACAAATACTGTATATTGTATGTATCATCATCAGTTGCTCTGAGTCAGTCTCACAAAAAAGACTATTGTGTCTGTTGATTTGCTGAAATTGCTGTTGCTAAAATCTTGTGTTTCTTTTCAAAATATACCAACCTTACACTAGGGTGTAAAGCACCCCGGCCGCAGCCCAGCTGATTGTTGTCTTAAGATTTATTATGAGAAGAATTCAAACCTGAAAAATCTATTCTTGTTTCAAAACTCAAAACTATTCCTGACATATGACAAGTAAAATATTTCTAGTTTTCGTTTAAGTTGAAGGGTGATGAAAAAATTGGAAATTTTATGAACTGTAAGATGCATATTACCAAAAAAAAAAATCTACGCATCGTTATAGTAATCGGTGCACCGAAGTCTAATTGCATTTGCGTCCCTTTTTTCTTTCCAGGATTGTTATTCCAGAGAGCAATTCTCATGTCCGGATCTGCACTGGGCGAAGTGTCGCTAGTGTCCGACCCGTACGACAATCTGCTGCAACTCGCTTCCGCAGTCAACTGCTCAACCTCTGCTTCCTCTTCCGAATCCCTGACGACGTGTCTCCGGAAACTGTCCGTCGCGGACCTGATGGCGCCGGAAGTGCCGGCGCCGCGCTTCCGCTCCAGCTTCGGCCCGGCCGTCGACAACGTGCTGATCGGCGCCGATTCCCAGGACGAGATCGACACTCGGTTCAAAAACAGCCGCCCTTACGACCTCATGTTCGGTGTGACGGGACACGACGGATTCGCGTTCCTGGGCGAGCCCGACATCCTCGACGGCATGAGTGAAGAGTCGCGCGATCGTGTTTTGCGAACGCTCGTCGCCAACACCTACGATTTCCATTGGCGGGAAATCTTCGCGGCGGTCGTGACTGAGTACACGGACTGGTACCGAAGTACGCAACGACGCGTCGACACGCGTGACGATGTGATCGAGGCGCTGAGTGACGGGGTCGTCGCGGCGCCGCTCGTGCGCTTTGCCAAGATCGTCACGGAGTTGGGCGCCAGGTCGTTTTTCTACCAGTTCAACTACCAGTCGTCGAACGTCAATCGACGAAATGTGAGTTGTTTTTTTCACCACTTTATTGCAGCAGTTGAATCCTGTGATAACTCAAACCTCTTCAAGACCAACCTTTTCAAGGGAACCAAGCTCAAGTATAATTTCCAACTAACTGATCATCATATGAAATCATTTATATTAATTAGGTGGTAGTTTCACGTCGGAAGAGAACCAATACTGTATATACTGTAATTTTAGGAAATTTCTACACAGGAGGATTATTTTCTTTTCCCTCTCCGAAATTCACGTCATGGTTGCCGAAATTCTTTCGAAACGTTTCGTCGCGAGCTCTGTCAAAATTTTAGTTTAAATCTGAAGTGTGAGTCGAAATGCAGAACAACTGAAACAAAAATATTTGTAATACAATGTGGGAATTTCCAGAAAGCAGGACTTCGTGCAGTAAAACATTATCAGGTTCAAAATCCTGCGAGCTGCTATACTTTTTGACAATAGCGACCGAAAAGCATGCAATTTTTAAACTAAATGCGTCGGATTCAAATCATATAAGTGTGTTTTCTGTGCTCAAAATATCGACCCTATACTCGACCGAAATTAATTAGTTAAAAATATCCGATTGAACTTGAACAAACAGTAGTTAGATACGGTTTTTTTTGTTTAAAATTGATCCATCATTAGAATCTCATCATATTTTGTTTCAGGAACAAAAGAACTATGAAACATAAAGTTATTCAAACATATACAGTATTGATTTTAAATTCTATCGAAAAATACTGAAAATATGTCACAGTAGAATTGGTAGAAAACACAAATTAATTTTCATTTCAGATCACAACCTGGTGCGTTTTTTTTTCTTTCGCGGTAATAATGGATACTTTTTCATCAGACACCATGGTCATCATGCTTGCCTAACAGTAAGGAAGAAAACGTAATGAACATAATTTCGAGAAACTAATTATATTCTTAAAATCGTAAAAGAAAATTACTTCTACCATGTTACTCAATTAACCATTGCGTTTCGCGCGGATCCGATTTGAAATGGCCATGGCTTCTACTTGAAGCGAGTTAATCAATGTCCAATAAACGCGTACCTCTCACTGAAGAATAAATAAATTAAACGATAGAAAAAAGAAGGTTGCATCGTCAGAGGAACATCGAGATTTTTATTACCACCCATGGCGAATATATGGCGTACTTTCCTCGGGGCGGGTTTATTCGCTAATAAGCGTCCAGCGGAACACGGGGCGAGCCCGGCGAGGTGTGAAATCTTCTTTGCTCTCACGCTAGCCTTGGACGGGTATTCTTATCTCACGGGAACAATATGACTATTTCTTTTTTCCTTGGAAAACATTTTGTGTTGAGCCACGTACATCTGCATGATGAAAAATATTCCCGCGCTCACGACATACAGCAGAAAAATTTTAAGTGACGTTTATATTAGGTGAGCACGGCTGTGCTATATAATGAAATCCGTATGAGTTGAAATTTGGTCTTTGTCGTAGGAGAGTCCGACAGTACATGATTGCACTTGGGATTCAAAGGAAGTGAGCCAAATTAGTAGCTTTATTTTTTTTACAGCAATTTATTTTTATTAAATTTAGTCACCCGGGATTTTTGTTCATCCCCAACGGAAGGGCACCAACTTTTTAATGCAATTAATTGACGTCGAAGCGTATTTTGTCAATTTCACTTATTGAATGAAACGCACTGTTGGAGAACAAGGTCATCCGAATTCCGAAGTGAGGGGAAATCCATGTCAAGTTTTTTTGAAAAGCTAAGAATTAATTGGTTGAGGCAGAAAAATATGCAAAATTACGTCGTCTTCATTCAAAAAAGGGCCAATAATTTTTTTTAATGATATGGAGAGGCGCTAGTGTAGGAAGTGCATCCGGATGATGGAACTTCACATGATCCCATTTAGAAATGAAATATAAATTTGACCACAAAGTCAGATTTTATTACTGGACAAAGTAATAAAAGTTAGGTAATCAAGCGAATTAGAAGTTTTTAATAAGCATGAAAACTAATCCTTTTGTACAATATATTTTATTTGTATTTACATCAATTATTCATGCAGCCCCCCACCCTGATTTTCAATCTCCCAACAACAAAAAACCTGCGCTTTTCACACTTCATACATTTGGTATTCCAAAGAAAATTTCGCAATCAATTTCATTTATTTCTGGTCTCTTCCGGTCGCCCTGTGGGAACGGTTCCGGTATTTATTTTAAATTATTTTTAGCTATTTAAAAAAATTCTCGAGAGTAGGAATGTGAACAGATTTTGGAATGCATTTTGCACTTTGTGTCAGCCAGGTGAAGCATAAATATTGTCAAAGATGGTCATGATTATGCCTGGAAAAAAAACTAGTTATGTTTCCCGGAATCATCTCGGATGTTCATATTCAGCTTTTCAGCAGAAAGTTCCGAGTGTTCCCTGAAAAACAATTAGAGTTCATTGGGAACTGAAGCGATATACAAAGTTGTGTGTCCCAGGTACGCAGAAATACAGTTCGGATGAACCCGAGCGCATTTGGCACGGTTATAAAGGACGAATTATTGCGTGGCATCGTCGGACCTGAGGGAAAATCGATTTTGTCTCGGGGGTTGCTGCTTTCGGACCCGATTTTCGTCTTCTTTTTTTGTTTTGTTCCGTGATTGCCCGACCGATCGATGCTCCCCGAACCCGAACCCAGCAGTCGTCATCGTCGCGATGATATTCGGATCGGATTTTCTGCGGGAAAGCAAGAGTCGACTCGCAGCAGAGCGAGGAGGAGCGAAACCCGCGAAAGATGCTGTTGCCAAAAAGCCAGCTTCCGGGCATTTCTGATCTTTCGGTGAGCGGGAGAAAGTGGAGAAAACATTTCCGGTCTGGATCGATGAATGGGACGAAGTTTTCCTTCTCGAAAGTACGCGGGTTCTGTGTGTGTGTGTGTTCTACACGGGAAACGGGGTTGGTGGGGGAGGAAATGATGTCACCTAACCGGTGATGAAGAGATCCTAACTCATCAGCGTTTCTTTTCGTGTAAAGCGTGTTTCGACGGGATCAATAACAACGCCGGGCTCGAACTTTTTGATGACGGAAGCACGAGTTTTTCTTCACTTTCATTTGTTAGCTAAAAGGCTAGAGGATCTGAACAGTTTCAGAGGTACCATCAACCCATTTTTAATACTGTACTTTCAAAGCACATTCCGTGAAATCCGTGATATTTCATCGGTTATGTTTGAATAATCATATTAACATGCATGTGCTTCATGGCTAAATGCCTTCTTTACAGATAATAACACCGGTAGTGTGCTGTTTAATACAGTATTATTATATCCTCTGAAAATTTCAACAACAACAAAATTCTGTAGTCATATCCGGCAGTTATTTCGGTATGGTTGATCAAAACCTATAAAAATGATTACAGTAGGTAAAACCCGTCAATTAATACGTGATCTTGTACATCTACAGAATGACATACATTCCTTTCTTTGTTTTATATTTACGTTGTACGATCATAAGAGTAATTTTAAATTAATTTTTCCCCAATAAAATTCAATATTGTGATAATAAACTTATTTCATCAATAACTGGAGCCAATAAAATCTAAAGATGTATTCACTATAGCTGTTTATTCAAAAAATCCAAAGATTATCAAAAGTCTTCCTCGTAGAATTACAAAAAATTATTACAGCAAATAGACTCTCTGCCAATAGAAATATTTTCTATATCGGTTGTCTCTGCATAAAAATGTGTTTATTTCTATACAGGATTTTATAACCAAACCCACCACGAAATTCTCTCTAAAACCATATTTTCTGGTCCCTTGTATTTCGTTGTAGAGAGAGTCCATTTTATCCGGAATTTACCACTACAAAATCATGTTATTTTCTTTCGCGGATTCTTTTCTTCGGATATCTTACAAATTCATTTTCTCAGTTTTCATGGATTGTTCATAAAATCTACGGAAAGTTGTGACTTCACGCGTCTAGCACTGGATTACAGAGGAAAATGAATTCAGGAAAATTTTCATAAATATGCCAGATATGTGAAATTTCGAAAGCGGCGTCAATAATATTTTTTCTCTCGAAAAAAGTCAATAAATGAATACAGATAACCCCACAACCCTTCGACAGTGATAATCAGGTGACAAGGAATATGTTGGTAACATGATTCATGAACGACGTAAACATGCTCAAACATCCTACGTTGAAATAAGGTAAACAATCCAATAAATTTTTGGAGAATTATTCTTTCAATTTTTCAAGAAAAATACTCGAATAAAAAAGCGTCCACTTGTACTCAAACAGCATCATACTATTGTACACAGGTTCATCCCGGGTGTCGATAACAAAATGCTTGGCAACTCTGGATTCCAGTTGCCACGCATCAAAAACATCAGCTGCAAGGTGGAAACGTATGTGAAAGAAACAGGTTGGAAGTGGCTCAATTCCACATGTAAGGTTTTAATTTTAGAATGAATGTTTTTCAAGCCTTACACCTTGAGTTTCTTATTTACAGCAGAGTCTTGGAAAGCAGAATTAGGATTGATTGAATAAAACACGGTAATTGGTCGGTAGTATTCAATTCCCCAAATGTCCATATTGTGTTGGAATATATTGATTGAATAAGTTTAAATGGGGAGACAATTTTTATTTTCATGGAATTATGGTGAGTATTCTGTCCATAAAACACCAATTAAAAATTATATAATGTAAGTCCAAGGGAAAATGAAACTCAACTTAGGGACACTCTTAATGCATGAATTACATCCGCATCTCAGGGTCTCACTGTATAAACAGTCATTATAAAAAGAGTCTACGTGTAAACTGTAGCTTATTTTTTCTGAAAGAAATGTCTGGAAAAGGTGCAAGATTTATTCATTATTATTTTTATATGGAACAATTTTCAGGTGCAACTCATGATTTTTTTTAGTGCATACCAAAATCACCTTGAAAATCATCCGTGAGCTGGGTATCATTCAAACCCCCGTCGTATCCATTGTCAAAATCCTCCTCGGGTTTCGTCCTGAAATCCTCTTCATAGTCAGCCTCAAAATCCTCGTCTCCCTCCCAAAAATAATTGTCACATTCAGACTCCATATCCTCATCAAGGTAATTTTCATCATTAGCTGCACCGTTCTGCATGTCATAATTGGCGTCCTGGTTGCAGTGAGAAAGAAAATCGGTTAAAACTTTGACGCTTTCAAAGTTTCCAAAAACTGACCGATTCGGGCATGGACGATGTTTGACACATGCCCCGAAGATAATTCACCAAGGTTTTAGGGGTTGCAGTCGCTGCGAATTCCTTGAATTTGACGGCAAAGGTTTCTTCTTCTTCTTCGAGGCTTTTCGCGAGAGACGCTTTCTCTGCCTTGGATAGTGCTTCAAATGTTTCTTGAGAATTTTGCAAGCCTTTTCCGGGTGAGCTCTGGGCTGCAATGTTCTTCAAGAACATTGCCTTGGCATCCCTGCGGAAAAGATACTGTAAGGTTTTAATTCTAGAGTGGATTTTTTCAAGCCTTACACCTTGAATTTCTTAATTGAATTTTAGCAGAGTTTCAGGAAATAAAATTTGGATCGATTGAATAAAACACGATAATTGGTCGGGCGCGAACCGACCGGGATTTCTCCCTACTAGCGCAGACCTTTCTTTTCAGAACACAGTACAGGGTAAAAATATGGCACAAAAAAGACACAGTACACAATAAACAGTAATCGTTTCACATACACACACACTCAGTCACAAGTTATGGCAAATAATCTCAAAGTCTTTGGTACAGCAAGTTTTCCAGTAATGGAAAGAATAAAGGGAGAAAAATCTCAAGTCAGATTTTTAGGGAGTCCTTTTGATCTGAATATTTCCAGTGATGGAAAAAATAAAGCAGGGTTTCAATCACTCAGGGAAACAAGGTACAAATGAAATACACAAAGGGCAATGATGGGACTTGAGGAGAATTCCCGAATTTCCTCAGAGTTCCTTTCTCAGATATTTTTTCTAAGTTCGCAAATATATCCCGAAGTTTTCTCAGAGTCCAAAGACTTTTCTCGAATTTTTGTTAAGTTCTTTAAAGTCCGAAATTTCTGTCCGACAAATTAGCTCAGAGACTCTCAGGATTCGACTGACTTCTTTGCACAAAGTGTGCAGGGGTTTTATGCAATTCTCACTTCTGTTTTGGCGCGATTTTCTCCCCAGGTATGGACAAGGTTTTTGAACCCTTGTACGAAAATGCCAGATGTTGGCAGCTGGTGACGAATTTCTCGAGAGAGTTGTTTTTCGGATTTTCCGACATGTTTTTCCAACATGTTTTTCCCGAAAACAGGGCAGTTTTAGTTTTAGTGTGCTGTCGGAATTGTCGGCAGTAAAATAATATCACAGGAGATAGATTTCTTGAAACGCTTTTCCAGGGATTTTGACAGCTCGATGCTGTCTTGTTTTTCGGAAGACAAATTGTTTCAGCAAAAGAAAAAGAGGGGGAGAGTCTTGGGGTGCGCCGCCAGCAGCTGGCCATAATTTTCGCGCTTCTTTTGGGGGGTTAAAATGACCCCAGTTTCGCGGAAAAAGATAAATTAAGTTCCTCTCACTGAAAGAAGGCGCCGACTTTAGACGTCTCGCCGATTCTTTTTTGTCTCCAGGATCTGCGAGTCATTCTTTCTTTTCTTGGCGATTTAGGTTTCGCCGATTCGTTCCCCTTTTTGTTAGAAGACACCCCAGTTTTGGGGAGATTTTCTTATCTCTCGTTTGTTTCGGTGCATCTCTAGATGCACCGATTAAATTACTTTTTCGGTTTTCGTCTTGGTGCCCTGTTTCAAAGCAGGGCCGCGGAAAATTCCGCACAATATTAAAAGGTGAAATTGAAAGTACTATTGAGCATAAATGCCTGATGGAAAAAATTCGAGATCCAGAAGATCAATTTGAAAAGATTGATGATGATGAATACGCCTTTGTCGATCCAAGTCCTGGACAAATAACACAATATTGTTCCACTAATGGTTTGAATCATGAAAATATTTATGAATTACCTCATACTGGAATTCTCCAGTTTCATCCTGATCGTAGGTATACTATGGTGAACGGTCCAGTAAATAAAATAGTCCCGTCTCTAGATTTGGAACGTGTTGAATTAAATGCTGTGCAAGAAATAACTGATAAGGATGAGAAAAGAAATTTGGTGGAGGATATAAGTGTTTTACAAGAACACTTCAGGGATTATGGATACTTATATTTAATCGCACTAATAGTTGTTTGTGTTATTTTTCTAACATTCTTAATATTTTGGTGTTATGCGCGTATACGTGTTTTGTATCTACGCCGAAAATGCAAACAAGAAAGACCAACTCCAAATGCATATGTAGAGGAAATTTCTTTAATTCCTCATAATCAACCGAATACTTTCCGAGCACTGCGTTCCGCGTTAAAATAACAAAACGGCATTGAAACAACGAATTCCAACCGAAAAACAAAATTTACAAATAATTCAAAATGTACAAACAAAGTAAAACAAATTAGTTACGATTCCCCCGTGACATGAAAACTTATTCGCAATGAATCATGTCACACATTGCTTGCACTTCAATACCGACATACGGATCCACAGTATCAATATAAATGATCTCCTTATTATACCGCGCACAATCGTTTTCATACTCCGCTCCGTTTTCCAAAATAACTTTTCGCGAATACGGATATTTTCTGAAAGAATAACCACTTTCTTCCAAAAAACCAAATGCGGAAAGAATCCCCGTCAAACGTTGAACTTCGGTATAAAAACTTTGAGCTTCTTCCTCCTGCTCAATCCGACAACAGAAGATACTATGGATCTTCATATAGTTTAGATAATTGTCCTCGAGCAAAGCCAAATAAATGACTCTGGTGTTCTGGAAAAGTACTGTCGAAAATATAAAAACCGAAAAATATAATACATATTTTTACACCTCCAGTTTATATATTTTCACCTTTGTGCATTCCCAAATATCTCCTGTACTCCAAATCTGTAAGAGGAATGTCCGGAATTACAACAAGGCGATTTTTGCCCAAAAGAACATTCCTCCTGCTTTGCTTTTTAACATGGAAAGCCTCGTATTGAAAAGAAAGACGCAGACTCCATGCCCGACGATTCATGACATGGGACGGATTCATTCCCATTTCTAAAAATATATGTCAAAAGTTTTATTGAATAATTGTGGAATAATAAATTAAATTAATAAGCAACCAACCGATTATCATCTCTTCCAATTCAACGTTGCTTGGAAAATAAATTTTGTGCCAATATTTTACGACGAATGGATATTCCTTGACATATCCATGAACCTGCCTTTCCACCATTTTTACCGTTTTCTTTGTCAGGACAGATTCGATATTTTCTGGTCGTACTTCATCTTGATGGCGGATATCTCTCCCCTCGACCATGGTTTCCTTGACCCAATATTCTGAAATTTTGGGTGCACAACAGAAACGCATGCAGAGTTCAGAATCTTTATTTTCGTTCTTTTTTGGCACTTCTTCTCTAGAAACATTTAAAGTAGAAGAAGTTGACGGTGTAGGAACTGTAGAGAGGACAGGCACCACAGGTGGCCCCAGATCCACCATCTCCATCCCATTCTCATCGACGTGTTCTTTTTTGGCACTTCTTCTCTAGAAACATTTAAGGTAGAAGAAGTTGACGGTGTAGGAACTGTAGAGAGGACAGGCACCACAGGTGGCCCCAGATCCACCATCTCCATCCCATTCTCATCGACGTTTTGATTTGCCAAAGATTGGAATTCCACGTCATGGTAGTCTCCTCTCGCCGCCTTTAAAGCCAAAGTTAAATAAAAGACAAAATATTCTTTTATAAGGCCAGATCTAAATTTCTTTGAAAGGATTCAAAAATCCAAGAACCTGAACTTACACTAGCCCGTCTTCTTCTCCAAATTAAAATTCCGACGCCGATTCCCACTCCTGCAATTCCCGCAGCAACTACTCCTGCCATTGCGTATTCTAATCCGATCACAATCCCGCTGGCCAAAATCGATTTTTCTTTTGCCACTTCTTCGCGTCTAACTTCCTCAATCGTATTATTTGCGATACTCGAATTACTCTCGAGACTCGGATTACTGTCAACGCTACTGTTGGAAATTACGCTGCTGTTGCCGTTGCTGTTAACAATTACTGTGGGAACAACAGGAAGATCACTCTTCGATAACTCTTCATCGAATGAAACCACTGAAATCAACGTCGAAATCGATGGCACCGTCACTTCCTGAATTTTCCACGTCGTCGCGGAACTCGCCGTGCTTGAGGATGCTGCCGTCGTGAAATCCGAACTTGGACTGCTGGTCGGAAACACCTCCCCAGAAGTCGGAATTGTAGTCACGGCCTCTGAAACGGAAATCACCGCAACAGCTGGGCTTGGCTCGTCAGCCAGCACCCCCTCCTCAACGCTCAGGACCTCGGACGAATGTTTTGCTTCAGGAGTCACGCTGCTGAACTTTTTAGTTTTAGTGTGCTGTCGGAATTGTCGGCAGTAAAATAATATCACAGGAGATAGATTTCTTGAAACGCTTTTCCAGGGGTTTTGACAGCTCGATGCTGTCTTGCTTTTCGAAAGACAAATTGTTTTTAGCAAAAGAAAAAAGAGGGGGGTGAGGCTTGGGGTGCGCCGCCAGCAGCTGGTCATAATTTTCGCGCTTCTTTTGGGGGGTTAAAATGACCCCAGTTTCGCAGAAAAAGATAAATTAAGTTCCTCTCGCTGAAAGAAGGCGCCGACTTTAGTTGTCTTGCCGATTCCTTTTTGTCTCTAGGATCTGCGAGTCATTCTTTCTTTTCTTGGCGATTTAGGTTTTGCCGATTCGTTCCCCTTTTTTGTTAGAAGACACCCCAGTTTTGGGGAGATTTTCTTATCTCTCGTTTGTTTCGGTGCATCTCTAGATGCACGGATTAAATTACTTTTTCGGTTTTCGTTTTGGTGCCCTGTTTCAAAGCAGGGCCGCGGAAAATTCCGCACAAAATCCCCCCCGCGTCCTTGGATGACCCCCTTTGTTTTGGGGAGATTTTCTTATCTCTCGTTTGTTTCGGTGCATCTCTAGATGCACCGATTAAATTACTTTTTCGGTTTTCGTTTTGGTGCCCCGTTTCAAAGCAGGGCCGCGGAAAATTCCGCACAAAATCCCCCCCGCGTCCTTGGATGACCCCCTTTCAAGGGGGGGTTCATTCAAGGCGTCGCGAAATAAAAAGGCTGCGAATTTTCCGAAACAATTGCAGTTCGAACTTGGAGATCGCTGAAGAAGAAGATCCTGGGGTCGGAAGTCGGATGAGTTTTGTTTTGTCCGAGTTTTGATTCTGGTGGTTTTCATGCTGAAGCTTGAACTCTGTTCGGAAAGAAGTGCTTGGTTAGGAAAAAAGTTTTCTTTGAGTTTTTGCTGTGTGTCAAGGCGGGGTAGCTAATCCCGCCTGACTTGTTCGCTTCGGTACTTTTTTTGTTGGGCCACACTTGGCGAAAAAGGTGTTTTTCGTTCGTTTGTTGGGTCAGGTACTTTTGACCATTATTTCCAGTGGGGTCAGGTATCTTTTGGCCGTAATTTTCTAGCGGGGTCAGGTGCCTTTTGACCGTAATTTTCTAAAGAGGGAGAGATAGGTCAGTCCTTCCTTGAAAAAAGTGTTTGGTTAGGAAAAAAGTTTTCTTTTAGTTTTTGCTGAGTGTCAGGGCGGGGTAGCTAATCCCGCCCGACTCGTTTGCTTCGGTACTTTTTTTGTTGGGCCACACTTGGCGAAAAAAGTGTTTTTGTTCGTTCGTTGGGTCAGGTACTTTTGACCATTGTTTCCAGTGGGGTCAGGTATCTTTTTGGCCGTAATTTTCTAGCGGGGTCAGGTGCCTTTTGACCGTAATTTTTCTAGCGGGGTCAGGTGCCTTTTGACCGTAAATTTCTAAAGAGGGAGAGATAGGTCAGTCCTTCCTTTTTTCGGGCCAAGTACTTCTGGCCGTCAGAGAATTTCTTGCTTTAGTAAAGGTCCGGTGTTGGGTCAGGTACTTTTGACCATTATTTCCAGTGGGGTCAGGTATCTTTTGGCCGTAATTTTCTAGCGGGGTCAGGTGCCTTTTGACCGTAATTTTCTAAAGAGGGAGAGATAGGTCAGTCCTTCCTTTTTCGGGCCAAGTACTTCTGGCCGTCAGAGAATTTCTTGCTTTAGTAAAGGTCCGGTTTTTCTAGCGGGGTCAGGTGCCTTTTGACCGTAATTTTCTAAAGAGGGAGAGATAGGTCAGTCCTTCCTTTTTTCGGGCCAAGTACTTCTGGCCGTCAGAGAATTTCTTGC